TTTACCCCAACCTGCCTGCTCAGACTTCCTTGGAGCCTATGTTTCTCTCCCATTTCCATCTCCAGTTATTTTGGAGAATTAACCCCGCGTTTAGTAGCTCTGGGAAGCTACTGCCAGGCATGCAAAACACCACGACTGTCTAAAAAAAGACTTAAAATAAGCGCCGTGGGTACAGGACCCTACGGCTATCATCTGACACTGCGCTGGATTCTCACTTTGATGGTGGCTTAAGTCGCCCTGCCCGCTTTTAAGACCGTGCAATGAATCACGTCGTGGAATAGATCCAGCAGAAAGAAGAAAAAAAGATCAATTTTGCAGCCAAATCAGCTCTCTCACTGTGGGCTCGCACCAGGCAAATCACAGGAGCAAGCTGCCGTGGCTGAGAGCTGCTTACGCTGATCCTACCGCCAAAGAAATGCCCTGGAATCCCAGCTTCAGTCACTCAGGTGCTTCCAAGTGTTACCTGGCACGAGTTCTTCATTAAAACATCTCAATGTTCGAGCGTGTCTTTTGGCAGGGTTGGGAACTGTTCTACAACCCTAACAGCTCCCAGAAACTACTTAAGGACTTTATATCAAAACCAAATGCCTTAACCACCCTCCGCACCATAATCAGCAGCTAGTACAACATATTAGAAACCAATCAAAGTTAATAAACAAAACATTAAAATTGAACTTGCTGCCATAAAATTCTGAGGCAGAGCTGTGGGGACTTCTCTATTTGACACAGACTGAATTCCAGGATGACTTTTAGTTTTGTGTTTCCACTCAGCAAGGTCCAACAATAACTTAGTTATAAATTATATACATTATAATAGTCATAAAGCTACGCAGTGGGATGGCTTTTCTGAGGTCTTTTCTTCTTCCTCTAAGTGAACCTTTAAGCATCCTTTCAAATTATTTACACGAGTTTTAAACTCTCATCGGCGGTAACGGAGAACTTCAAAGATGGGGCCACATATTGAATTCCACTGACCTTAAATCCCACTGACGTTCAGCTGAATTTACCAAGGCAAGATGCTGAAAGGGCTGAGAAACTTAAGTCACCTCATGGAACCAAAAATCTGTACCTTAGCTCTTGTGAAGGGAGCTGAAACCTGTTGTTAAATTCACATAACATTCCAATGTGAAGAAAGGAAATATCTCTTTCCCCATCGTGCCTTTAGTGTAGGAACTGCCTTTTCCCAGTAGGAATTTCAAGAAATAAGAGACCCCACCCTTGGATAGTTTCTATCATGCTGCGTCCACGCAATACGTGCAGCCGTTTCTCCTCTGCCCAAGGCGGAAGGGAGGAACTGGTCCGCAAAGCTTAGACTCCTCCGCTTCGTTCCCCCGATACCCACACCACCTACCTGCTGTTATTTTCTTATTTTGAGGCATTTCTCACCTAAATCAGGGAGCTGACTGTGCAATTTCGCGCTTCGAGCTTACCGACTGTAAGGAAGGCCTTTGACACGGCGGAGCCGTGCTCGTTGATGGCTTCGCACGCGTACTCCCCGGCGCGCTCAGGAGTCACGTTCCTAATGTGCAAGGAGCTCGAGCCCGCTCGGGACACGGAGAAGTAGGTGGGCTCCGCGACGGCGCGGCCCGGCGCTGCTTGAGGAGGTTTCTGCAGTTTTGAACGAAGCACCTGGGAAGGGTGGCCGGTCACAAGTCCTCTGCTGTCGTACCAACGGATCACGGGAAGGGGGAGGCCAGTGGCATTGCAAGACAGCGTAACGTCCTCACCATCGATCACAGTGGTGCTTGCCGGCGGAGAGACTATAACTGGCCTAGAGCCTTTGCCTAGGGGGAAAAGAAACCCCAAAGAATGCATTTGGCTAAGGAACATGATGCTTAATGCCAAAACGAGTCAATACCATTTTAAAAAGTCACGCATGCTTCTTTTTAACCAATTTAACAGTTATTTCTTCTCTAGACAGCCTCTCCAGACTTCCTTTTCAGACCAACAGAGACTCATGCTTAGAGAAGGCTGATAGAAAGCTACACTCAAACCACACTTCAAATTCTCTAAATAATGAAGGCGTGACTGTCAGTGAGGAATGCAGTGCGGGCAAGACTGTCTTAGGCTGCTCCACGGACAAGCAGGTCGCAAAACTTCTGCTCAGCCAGCCTCTGCACAGCTCACATGGATCTCAACAGGTACAGAAAAGGTCCAGAGCTTCAACTGCGCGTGACAGGGAGAG